TAAGTGTTTTTCTGATTCTGCTCATCGGAGGGGGTCTGCTGACTACAGTGGCTGACACAAAAAACGCCAATGGCCTTATCTAGAGCCAATGTTTGGTTTGTCCGTTCTGGGCTACTGTAGAAACAGCTAATTAAAAGGTAGGGAAAACACAACGATTCTTATTTTCTGGTGCTTAAACACACAGGAAATCACACCTATTTATTGTGTTCCATTTCTACCAATATATCCCAATAATTCTACACTAGACACTGGACCTTTAAATCACAACTTTTTTGGCCTGTTACCTTTTGAAACAAAATAAAGTTAACCTGCAAAGTAGCTGTGAGCATTTCACACAAAAAGTGATTTTCACCTTCTCAGATTGCTGGATTTAACACTGTCACTGAACATGTGAAAATCAAAGATATGAGAAATATAATCTGTCATCTTTTCCTCACTTGTTTACCATCTTAAGACCCCTTAAAGAGATCCTAACCCCCAGGTTGAGAGCCACTATATTAATATACAGTACAGGCCAAAAGTTTGGACACACCTTCTCATTCAATGCGTTTTCTTTATTTTCATGACTATTTACATTGTAGATTCTCACTGAAGGCATCAAAACTATGAATGAACACATGTGGAGTTATGTACAACAAAAAAAGGTGAAATAACTGAAAAAATGTTTTATATTCTAGTTTCTTCAAAATAGCCACCCTTTGCTTCAAGAGGTAGTCACCTGAAATGGTTTTCCAACAGTCTTGAAGGAGTTCCCAGAGGTGTTTAGCACTTGTTGGCCCCTTTGCCTTCACTCTGCGGTCCAGCTCACCCCAAACCATCTAGATTGGGTTCAGGTCCGGTGACTGTGGAGGCCAGGTCATCTGCCGCAGCACTCCATCACTCTCCTTCTTGGTCAAATAGCCCTTACACAGCCTGGAGGTGTGTTTGGGGTCATTGTCCTGTTGAAAAATAAATGATCGTCCAACTAAACGCAAACCGGATGGGATGGCATGTCGCTGCAGGATGCTGTGGTAGCCATGCTGGTTCAGTGTGCCTTCAATTTTGAATAAATCCCCAACAGTGTCACCAGCAAAACACCCCCACACCATCACACCTCCTCCTCCATGCTTCACAGTGGGAACCAGGCATGTGGAATCCATCCGTTCACCTTTTCTGCGTCTCACAAAGACACGGCGGTTGGAACCAAAGATCTCAAATTTGGACTCATCAGACCAAAGCACAGATTTCCACTGGTCTAATGTCCATTCCTTGTGTTTCTTGGCCCAAACAAATCTCTTCTGCTTGTTGCCTCTCCTTAGCAGTGGTTTCCTAGCAGCTATTTGACCATGAAGGCCTGATTCGCGCAGTCTCCTCTTAACAGTTGTTCTAGAGATGGGTCTGCTGCTAGAACTCTGTGTGGCATTCATCTGGTCTCTGATCTGAGCTGCTGTTAACTTGCGATTTCTGAGGCTGGTGACTCGGATGAACTTATCCTCAGAAGCAGAGGTGACTCTTGGTCTTCCTTTCCTGGGTCGGTCCTCATGTGTGCCAGTTTCGTTGTAGCGCTTGATGGTTTTTGCGACTCCACTTGGGGACACATTTAAAGTTTTTGCAATTTTCCGGACTGACTGACCTTCATTTCTTAAAGTAATGATGGCCACTCGTTTTTCTTTAGTTAGCTGATTGGTTCTTGCCATAATATGAATTTTAACAGTTGTCCAATAGGGCTGTCGGCTGTGTATTAACCTGACTTCTGCACAACACAACTGATGGTCCCAACCCCATTGATAAAGCAAGAAATTCCACTAATTAACCCTGATAAGGCACACCTGTGAAGTGGAAACCATTTCAGGTGACTACCTCTCGAAGCTCATCGAGAGAATGCCAAGAGTGTGCAAAGCAGTAATCAGAGCAAAGGGTGGCTATTTTGAAGAAACTAGAATATAAAACATGTTTTCAGTTATTTCACCTTTTTTTGTTAAGTACATAACTCCACATGTGTTCATTCATAGTTTTGATGCCTTCAGTGAGAATCTACAACGTAAATAGTCATGAAAATAAAGAAAACGCATTGAATGAGAAGGTGTGTCCAAACTTTTGGCCTGTACTGTATATGGCCTGATTAGGGTCCCTGCCAGGACACCACATACCTGGTTTTGCTTTCTGCTTCTCACGCAGTTTCATCTTCTCTTCGTGGATCTGTTTGCCGCTCATCAGCTTGTAGACAGGAGGATCTTTGCTTCCACTGAGCAGCACCAATTTGAGACCCTGCGTGTCCATCATTCTGATAACATTTGCACGGTGCATGATGCCCAGGTTCTCGCCTGTCTCACTAATCACTTGTATCTCACGCTGTGGGATGCTGTGGCCAACGTTGCTGAGTGTGGCATGACCTCTGGGATCCTGCTTTTTTTTCTTTGGTGGCAGAGTCTCTTTTGTGTCATCTACAGCAGTAGAGAATGGAGAACATCTCCAGGAGGAAGTGATGATGTTGGATCTTCCGCTGCATATGGTAAATCTAGATGCTGGTGTCCAGCAGGCACGGCTGTCACCACATGCAGCTCTCAATGCGTGGCTTAGCACCCACCTGAGACAACCTACAGACATTTCCTAGATAAGAAAAGAGAGGGGACAATTTACTTAGCAGGCGTTTAACACAGCTCTGTTTGCTCACCATCAGTGTATGAGAATGTTGTGTATTTTAGGTTCATCAGATATAATGTGGCTGACGCATACATACGGTTGCTTTCCTTATATTTTCTCTTGCCTCTGTAGGTAATGTAAATAATGTCTTGTAAGGCCATATGTGAGTTTTATTTATTTTTCATCTAACTCTAAAGGTTAGGCAGATCTGATAACACAAAAAAATAATTCATGAATGTTCAGTTAAATGGCATCTCTCCATCCCTAGCAACAGTACAAACACAATGCATCGACAGTCAGTTCATACAGTTGCGAAATAGTTTTCCAGTTTCCTCAGCACCCCGTCCAGCCAGCCTCCGTTAAAAAAGCGACCAATTAAAGTTTGCCTTATTTATTTGTCACTGCACACGTCACAAACATCACAAATAAGACATTTTTTCAAACCCTCAGGGTACACTGCGGTATTCGGGATACTATATGCTTATTTAAAGACTTAGTTTTGGAAGTTTTACACACATTTACCTCTCACAGAAGTTGGTTCATCTGGCATTATGACAAGCGTCCGCAGATAAAATACTCAGGTGGTTAACCACTAGAAGTAGGTTGCAAAGCTACCATTTAATTAAAAAAACACCAGTAATGTTATGCCGAATTGACAAGCGGACCATACTTATTAGTAAAATGCCTCGCAATGAATGCACCGTGTCGCACTTGGTTTTAAATTAACGGAGGAACGCTAAAATGTGAGATTTTCGATGGCAGTCTGGAGTTAACCGAGGGAGCTGTTTATCGTCATGTTGGTTGATTAGAGTCGGCCTTACATTATGGAAACAGTGTTATTTGAATAAGTGAGATTTCAATGTCATTGCCACTTAAAACAAGTTGTCCTAGACGTGTTAACTTGTTCTTACATTAACATTAACGTTACACACAAAACGAAGTCCTGAGTTAAAACATGAATGCAGGCACAAATGCTCCAATGCGCGATAAAAAAGTAAATATCGCCAGTCAGTAAATTCCCTAAATGTGTCTTGTGTTTTTGTGCTTTTTACTCACTGTAGCTCAATGTCGTTATTTCACGCTCTCTGCAGGGTGACTGTTTGCTGTACCTTCTTCCGCCATGTTCTTCTTTGTTTAATTTAATTTGTGTCACAGCGGATGCAAAAGTCACGATGCCGCCATCTTGTGTACAAAAGCAGAAGTCGCCATTACTCCATCAGAGGGTCAGGGGATAATGGAGGTTAAATAAATTTAACTAGTAGTTTGATTAATGGTCAAATTCGTGGCTATGTAGGTGCTAACTGTTCACCAGCTAGGACTAGCTACAACTTCGTTAGCTTTGTCTGAATGCTGTGTGGTGCAGGTAGCAAACATACAGCGGGTTTATTAGAGGTTTTTCACTCAAATAATAAATGAGAGTGAACCAAAACAGTAGCGTAATATCGTGAATGTAAAACAATAACCTGTAAGATGGTTAAACACTCGGGTTTGTCCTACACCCGCAGCCAGTTAGCTTAACTTAGCTTAGCATAAAGGCTAGCTAGGAACAGGAGTAAACGGCTAGCCTGGCTCCATTCAAAGTGAGCCTTGTGTGAATAACACTAAAAAAATCTTTTTATTTGTTCCACAATGGCAACATTTAGTAAGTAAAAAGTAAATTATAGCATAGTTCATAATAATAATTTGTAAATTGCACCATGTACTTATTGTCTTATTATCACTGACTAGTGTGACGGCTAATTTAACATCAATATGGTCAAATGAAGATATTGAAAATTAGCTGTTGATGCTCACTTCCAAGCAAAGCTTTTTCTGTTCATCATTATGAATTAAGACCCCATGTACATTTCTGTTAAATTGTATTGCTGAAGTCAGCCCACAATTCATACAAAATAAAGCCGCCTTTCCTCACTGTCACAACAACCCTCTCCCTCAAGCATCCTCCCTTAATCCCCTCTCACCAAATTTCACAAAAAGTCAAAAATTCACTAAATAAATTTCCCACAAGTAAAAAGAGGCTTTAGGTCTAAAATTCATTAAAAACTGTCCCCTATAGCCCCACAAACAGTCTGATGAACGCATCTTTTGATTCAGGCTGGTACAACTAACAAAATCCAGCTAGTCCATTAATATTTCTATAGTTGATTATTGTTCTGCACACACGAAGAGGCTGGGAACCACTAATGTAGAGCATAAAGAGCACATGCGATGGTTTTCTATTTATTATCAAAGCCTTTCAGCACTGTCCCAATCACACAAAGCATATTTGAGTGAATGCGACAAAATTAGATACAAGATAACCAAGCTATGATTAGCTGTGTAATCAATTGTTTGTAACAGTCATCTGACTTTTTCTCAGCTGTCTGAACGCCAAGCAGGGTTCACAACCCGATCTTAATTTTATGCACATTATATGAAGGTATAGTTCATCTATTTGTAGCAGGATGAAGTGCTCTCCCATGGGTGAGTGTGCTGCGTTGCTCTCCCCTACCTTATTAGCCAATCCGCACCTGAGGCCACCTTATTTAGGGAGGCAGTGTCCATCTCGCCTTCCTCTTGCTCTTTGGCTCTGAGGCCCACCCACATTCAGGTCGCCTCACTTCCTCCTCTTCGCCATCGCCTGTGCAGACGTCCGACGGGCGGACGCTGCGCCTGTGGGGTTGGCTCGCCGGTAATCTGCCATTCAATGCGCTATTGGTCAGCCGCGTTTGCCACTGCCGCTGGGAGACCTGAAGTGCTCCGACCCTCTCCAGTGTGTGTGCGTCATCGACGCTGCCTGATCGATGTTAATTGATATGCGGTGTGACGCTGTCTGAAGACCCGCTGCTGCTTTGCTGCATGTTTTGCTTAGTGCGCTGCTCGCATCACTCCTGTGCTGGCTTTAATCTGCTGGGCTCTGCACGTGCTTGCTGTATGCGTATGGCTGGGCTGGATGGGATGTTCTGTGCCCACCGACAGAACTTCTTCCCCCCTATTAGCTCCTCTTTCTTTTGCCTCAGCCCTGATGCAGCATGTGTTGGTTTTGATTTTCTTATGTTGGATTAATTTTTGTTGTTTTGGTTTTGTTTAATCAGATCTTATTTTCTTTTCAGATTAGTAATTAATTACCTTTGATTGACTGTAGCTCCTTTTTTTTCTCTCTTACATTAGGATTACTTTGTGATTTGTTTGGTCAAGGTGCCTGAGTTTTGTAAATTCTGGTAGCGGGACTTTCATCATTTGATTTATTTTGTGTATAAATGTTATTCCTAGTAAATCATTTGTTTTTCTTTTGTTAGCTTATTTTGTTAACCATTAAATTGAGTTATTTTTGGCAGCTACAGTGACTATTTTGTTAAGTTGGTTAATGTGTAACCTTGGTTGCTGCCTATCTTTAAGTCTCATTTATTTATTTGGTTATTTTGCTTATTGGGTTGTTTTGTTTGCTTTGCTTGCTTGTTTTGGAGTTATCCCCTTCTTTAATATTTTCTTTTTCTTGTTTTTTTCAGGTGCTGGAAGCTTACGGTGGCAGTCCTGGTGTCCTGGTAGTGGGGTTCCCCCTTTTCTTTTGGTGTGTGTGTGTGCGGTGCGACCCCTCCTCAGTTATTTGGTTTTGGTGTTTGGGTGACACGAGCAAGTGGGGTGCTTTTCTCCCTGGGTTCCTTCACCTCCCCGTTCTCCTAGTCTCCCCCACTGGTAAGCTCCAGCCCTGTTTGTGCATTTCTTTCTATTAAAGAGCTACACGCAAAGCTTCTTTTAATATATGTTGGTTTTATGAAATTTTGTAATAAAAAAAATATATATATATTTTTATAACTGGAACCACGTCTCCTGCTCCTTAAGTAAAACGAACCTGAGTGCCTTGGAATTAGCTCCAATAAGGTAAAACAAAACTATTTCCTGGGGTGAAATTCCCAAGGTGGCATTGTCTGGTTTGGTTGGTCATTCCCTAATACTTAAACCTCCCACTCGTATGCTGATCACCACATATTAAATCATCACAATCTTGGTAACATCAAATATGAGTCAGCTGAAGATAAAGTCAGGAACCACAGCTCCGCAGCATGTCAAAAATGCATTTTTATTTATGTTTTTGAAACCACTGAACTATCACAGACGCTGTTTTGAATACTTTCTCAGGAGAGATTGTTATCAATGTGATAGCGTGACAGCTGTGGAAAATGCAGTTACAACACTTTACAGGTGTGCAGGCCAAGTTGAGGTCAAAATGAAGGCCGAGGTCGGAGATGGGTTTGGTCTGGCCACAGGCACCGGAAATAGGGGAGTAGGAAGATGGGAAGGGGCCATTACTGTATGCAAGCCCATTCCTTACACGTTTTCTAAGTCTGATTATATTAATTACTTTTTGTGGCCCAGTCAGTGTTTAAATATTTAACTTAATGATTTAGATGTAAACTTTCTTCACTCTTTACAATGAAACTTTGCTCTTTGGCATTTACCACTTACACTTATGGCAGTCTTGTCTGAAAAATGATCAGGTATTCTTGGGGAGTTATTTGGTATTTACACATTTAATATAACTTTCTTACAACAAATATGCACACAAGCTACTGTACATCAAACCCACAACCAAATTCATTCCTTGAATTCACCGAGGCATGATGTTGCTTTGCATAGGAAAATGACATTTTGTTTTTTCAGGAACTCTGAATTTGCAAAACAAAATACTTGCAGCGGGCTGCCATGCAAAGTCAGGCGACAACATATCCATGTAGAGAAAGGCTCAGTTGCGTCCGTTTACTGCTGACGTTCGGTGCTTTGACTTTACTTCAGCCAGAGAAAGGTAAGAATTAAAATCCTTTTGGCCGATAATTCATATGGAGAGAAAAAAAAAGTATTTGAAATGATACTTATTCATCTACTGTAGCAGTGAATGGATCACACAACAAGACTTAATGCCATCAAACAAACATGAGCTGGATGACTTGGATTTTGTTTGTGAGCCTTCTTTGGATTTATTCTGTTTGTAAGTAAACACAGTCTCATAATGTTGAAGTCTAGTAGCCAGTATCACATTGTATTATTCTCCTTTAGCATGAAAACAGAGACCTGAAAAAGTCCTAAGATCTACCTTGGTTAATATAAGGTCTGAAGGTGTGAAGAATATGGTACTTTTTGTTTAATGTGTTATCTGATTTGATTAAAGGTATTTCAGACGCTGAAAAATGCCCTCAAAAATATAAAAAACTCAAATGTGTGAAGCAGCAGAAGACAAGTCTTGTCATTGGTGATGACTTCAGAGGCTTCTTCAATGGAGGCAGGAATCAGAGTGAGTCAAAACTATGACAAACTTTTTAAATACAGTTGTTGTTGATTATTGTTAGAGAGCAAAACATCATGCTAAGTGTGCGAGGAAGGGTGCACCTTTTAAGGATTTAATTGGTAACCTGTATGCAGGGAGGGAAAGCGAGAATGATTCCACTCAAATATACCACCTGAACACAGAGTATCAGTTATCCGAGTAAATTGTTTAGGGCCACTTATATAATGTTTTAGCTTCTTGGAATTTCAGAAAATAAGATGTCCATTTATTTTTTTGCTAAAATGATCCAGCCTGTTGTAATCTATGTGCACATTTGGTATGCTAGAAACAGTCCTTTCTTACACCACCTTTGAATGCACACAAATTCAATCATGTACTTTATGAGGCAACCTTTAACATAACCGTCTTTCACACGAAAAACATCCTTAAAAATATATCTTTTTTTATTTCCCCTTCAAACAGCTGTACTTATTCAAGTTTCTCACCAAAAGTTAAGGGGAGCGGGGCTGGGGGCCAAGGGGTGGCAGGAACCCAGAAAAAATGCCTGAGGCTTTGTAGTTATGTTGTTATGACCTTATGTAATATTTTAAAATAATAGTAGTAATAGTGTTAGCAAAAAATAGTAGAAGATAAACATTTTGATTTTTTTTTCTTCACCCATTTGTGGCGCCCTGATTAGTGGTGCCATATAGGGGAGAAAAGTTAGAACGATTTCAAGGGCCCTGACTGACAGGGGCCCCAGAAATAGGTAAAAATGAATATAAAATTATTAAACCATCATCATTAAGAATTTTTCTTTTCAATAGTAATAAAATTAATGATCTCTTTGTTTTTACTTGTTTTTGGCAGTAAAAATTAAATATCCCCATTGACCAAAAAGTAAACATCCATATTGACTGACCACCCCCCTGCATCTGCATGAAATGGTTTGGTCCTGCCTTAGCACACTGATGGTGATGGTGCCTAGTAGCAATCAGCAGTTGCACTAGAACGCTATAGTCCTCATCATGCTACCTGGTACTAAAAAAAAAATCTGGTTTTCACAAAAGGAAAGAGAGAAAGGAGAGAGATGAGAGGCAAAAGAAAGGGTGTCAATGTGTGAGCCAGTGTTTCTCCAAGAAAGGTGGGTAGCATGGGCGTGGTAGTGGGGGGAAAAGTGGACCTGACTACCCAGGGCCCGAGTAGGGAGAGGGGCCCATGAAAATCCTGACTTTTTTTTTTTTTTTTGTGGTGTTTTTATTTCGAATGAATTGGGCACTGCAATTAATTGGTGTCATAATTTATTTCAAATATATTGATAACATCAACTGAGAGAATGAACTTTATGTCACAGTCCTCCC